GACTGAAGGCCCCGTCGGGCAGAAAGAATGAGAGTCGGACCGCGAGAGAGTGCCGCCGAACTCCCGAAATGCGTTATATAATAATAATATATATAATATATATTAAAAAGTTAATAATGCTTAAATAATAATAATACTTTATAGTTGTTATAAATACTGGTCGCATGCAAATTTATTAGTCACACTTTAAGGTTGTAACATACAAAATATTATTGTATTAATTTAAAAACTGACTTTCTCAAAATTATGTACAAAATAATATTATTTAACTTATTATTATTTAAAATATAATAATATTGATTTTACATATAAAACATAATATCCAAATATATAAATAAATAAATAAATAAAACAAGCAGTTATTTGTATAGATTTTATCAATATTATTGAACGTCTATTTTTAGTTAATTAATTAAATTGTTTTGTTGTTTTCTATAAGCAAAATATTATCTTCTAAAAATAGATTAAAATATTCAAACAAGGCTCACACAGCCATTATATGCGTTCAACACAATTCGGTCTATGCATGAAAGATACAAATACGCCTTGTAACACTATAATCATAATTAATAGTATTACCCATGTGAAATGTAAAAATTTCAATGCATTCAGCCCTATGCAGGTAGCTGAAATATGGCCATAAATTAGGTGTTTGTGACCATTCGCATGTCCTGTTAATTGTTATGAATCTCCGTACAGCAATGAACACAACTATATTAACCACAACTTGATCAGTTAGTGGATATTAGCATACTTCCCTAATTAGCATGTTTTTATAATTCTTATATTAAATAAGACTATTTGACAAATTACCCCAAAATGTAATAGATTAAATTTTAAAAGAATATCTCCAATATTTATAAATATTTTGTCTGTATAAATAGTTAAACAGGGTCTAATTTATTTTTAATAAATTATTAAACAATATACAGAAGTATCAGAATAATACAAAATAATATTACAATTATAAATTATATTCAACAAATATTTATTAAATTAATAGAGATTATAACAGAATTACAGCAGCGTGAATATATTCTTACAATATACGATTATCTGTTATAATCAATTTATTTGTCAACCAAATTCTCATAAACGTTGACACAATGCGCACGAGTGCGGTCGACCACTGGAAATATATGGTCCAACAAATTGTAAAGCCATCCAATGATTAATTATATGGATGGCTATACAATTTGTTTGACCATGTTTTCCATTTAATACACCATACCATAAGCCGAAAAGTGACCCGATGTACACAACATACTCTTCCCACGATATCTTCAGCGATATCCCGTATAACATATCGGGCTCTGACGGTAAGATTACGTGTAATTAGAGTCTGAAAAGCTATTATACTGTATAAGTAAGAATTATCTATCATGATAGTCTTTTGATAAGTAGTAATGAAAAAGTTGTTCATTTTGAGGGATTGAAGTAAATTAATAGACTAGGGTTTGTATCTAATAACAAATTACTTAAAATTATTATAGTAATCTTGGTTATCACATACCTTGGTTAAATTTAACAGTGCTAACATTGTCGATCCCATGCTGGCAGTGTATAACGACCGTCCAAATCGAGCTATACGTTTGGTGTGTTGTCTATAGAGAAGTATATTAGACTTATTATATTAATATTATAATTAATGTTACTTTCTTACATTATTTAATTACTATTATTTTGTTCCGATTTTTATAACAATTATTTTTTGATATTTTTATATAAAATTTAAACAGAATTGTGCTAGTTTAATGTGCTCTTCGTATGATAAGTATTGTGTTAATAATGGGTGTAATTGAAGGCTACATCCGATCAAAAATGATAACAATAATTCACTAATAGAAAATATCGTCCAACAAATTATATAGCCATCCAATAGTTGTTGTAGTCGAGTATGAGATGTATATTAAACCGATTTTATAGTTTTGGTATAGGAATCCATACAATAGTAGTGTTTTGAATATTAAATTTTTGTTCACTATTTTTGACAACATTTTAAGTAAAATAAATATTAATAACTATTAAGAGGATTGTATGACATGTAAGATGTGATGTAAATTACTAATTTATGACAATAAGGTATTATCTTATATACTTGTCTTGAAAACACATTTCAATTAATATTTGTTGTTTTACACCCATTATATTGACAATAAGGGCGATTATATTACAGGTAAATTAATTGGTTTTTATTGAACTTTTTTCATAATAATAATTCAACAACCTTATTAAAACTAAAGTAGAGTTATATGTAAAGTTTATTTTATTTATTTACATGTTTATTTGAATATTAATGTTCTATATTATACTAAAAATACATTCTAATTTTTATGATAGTAAACACCAATCGATAAGTAATTAAGTGCAGCATTTGTTTTGATGCTTGTATATTATTTAATTGAAATGTTGAAATGAAATATTTAAATCAATATTTTATTAAGCATTAGTGCAATATACTGTACAGTCCAATTTCTCTTCGATGAACACAACAAACACAACATAACAAACTGAATTGAAACATATATTAGATGTCCTATCATTATTATGTTAAAATAACCTTTCTTAGGTAAACTTTTCCATAATGAACGGATTTATAGAGATTAAGATAAGATTTACACATATAGAATAACCGTATTTCAGAACAACGATGTAATTTTTATTAAAGATACATTAATATATAAACATTTATTTAAAAATTGAGTGGAATATTTCACACACGGTCAATGTACAATATTGGGTTAACCACATTATTAATATTATTATTTATTACAATAATTTTATTTCTATTAAAATAATTATTTTGAATATTTTTGCAAACATTCATTACTGACTGAAAACAGAGATTTGAAAAGAATAGCAAAGAAAAGCCAAACCATAGGCTAAATATACTGCCCATTAAACATAGAAATTCAATAAAATATATTTTCGGGGTTTGTCTGTATGTCTGCATTGGTATTGAGGGGATGGCAAACGTAAATGTCTTAATAATTTGATCGGTAGTGTTAGCACCTGTAGGCCAGGGCTCAGTCACCTCTTTCTGAACAATCTGATAGTACTCTTGATAACAGTCGGGACTCTCACCGCAAACATCGGTACAGTCTATCATCGGTTCATCACCGCTAAAATTTACCTTCAGTTTAATACTCAGATTGCGGTCATAAATAATATAATCTTCTGGAAATGTTTTGTTGTTGTCTAGGATATAATTCAATTGACATTTACTAATACAATCTTGGTGTGATTTATAGCCAATCATCCTATACTCCACACACCCGGGCCGGTACGGGGCGGGCAACAGCTCGACCACAGTTTTCTGATACTCTATCATTATATAATGATACTTTGTATCCAAGTATTTATTACCTTTTTGTAATACATCCGTTACAGGCATGTGTCGCGCGTGTATATGCAATGTAATGTCATCACTAAATGACATATTAACAAGGTGAATCAGACCTTGATGACCTGGCCGTTTGCCTAGGTTATTTGCGATTAAATACCTGTCGTCCGACTGGCCGTTGAATTGCGAGAAATATGTCTGACAGCAGGCGTTGGCGCTTATCGACAACCGGACGGGTATTATCTCATCGCACGACACATAGCCCTGACTATCGTTGACCACAATTCCCGGCGGTTTAATTACTGCACAATAGTTATCACTGTCTGACCGTATGCTTAGCTCTCGGTATTGTTCGGCAATTGACATGTTATTTAAATAGGCGTTAATTAAATCTATTCTCTGGTCGTTATTATCATATTTTGCATTCAAGTCCCGCAATATTCTGGTCTCCAATTCTGGCCGTATATACACGGCTTTGTTCATACATAGAGTGATTGCCGGCAATGATATGATAGTCTCGGTCTCGAAGCGCACATCAGTTGTGGTCTCGTATGAGAAATATTGTGTTAATAAGTCAGTGAATTGAACACAACATCCGATTAAACACAATAATCGTGAGATATTATTAAAGTTTTTGATTATATTTACTGTTTTTAAAATATGCAATGCAATTTCTTGTTTAATTTTCTTTAATCTAAACATTGTGTTGTATTTAATGTTTATTAATAAACTCAAAATATTCTTACATTATAAGAAATTATTATGAACATTATGTTAATTTTATATGAGAGCATTTATAATTTGCTAAAATAATTCATGAATTACATTTTATTTATAGCACAATTTATGTTAAAACAAAATAATAAATTGTATTATTTAATGTATTAATATCGGTTTTATCTGAAATGATTATTATTTCAATTATTCTGATATTTTGCATAATTATGTTAATTATTTTGTTTACTATTAAAATGGGTACAAATTGTGACATAATGTCTTTTGTTAATTATTCTATACACAATATATAATTATTTTTAAATGACCAATCAATATATAAAGAATAAATATAAAAATATTGTATTAAATAAAATTATATACTGATACATTGACAAATTATGCAATTTGTATATTGATTAACTTCTCTTAATTAGGAGTGCTGTTATATTAAAAATGTGATTTATACTTACAAATAGTAACTTGTATAAAAGTTATACTATATTTTCAAAAAACTTTGTGCAATAACAAACGGAATGTTTTAACAAGATTAGATATATTATGTACTGAATTTTACTTATTATAAGTTATAACAAATTAATTTTTAAACAATATTAACAAATAATAATTATAAAACATAAGGCACTCTCCCACGAGCCATAGTCATGTGCATGCTTAAAAAATAACTAATCTCAGCAAATTAACCTTGATTTTAAAAGTGGCATAATGTACACATAATAAATAACTAAATACTTATCCCCGGTTTATTGGTGATAAACGATTAACTAAATGTACTTTTAAGCCTTTAATAAATCACGTTATAGTAAATCCGGGTAAAATTAATCAAGATAAATTTACCTAACTGTGAATTATCGGCTATATTCTCATGCATTTCATTTCAAAACATTGATTAATTTTAGTATATATACAGTGTTTTAAGAATTAATTTATTAAGTTATATAATAATATATTACTTAAAACATGAAATTCGCTGTTATATTGTCATTGATTTGTGTCTGTTTTGCGGCACAAAACAAGAGTGCCTCACAATATGCGGCAGAACTTGGTTTCAAGACATTTGAACACGAATTCAATAGTTTCAAGGTATGTATAAAAACATAACAACTTTCTCTATGTAATATTAATAATTATTATACTCAATAATTAATATAAATATAATTAACCCTCCCTTGTAATTCATAGATAAATCACAGCAAACAGTACTCGACCGCCGAAGAGGAAGAGCAGAGAAAAGTGAATTTTTTGCAAACATTGCAAAGGATTGAAAAACACAATGAGTTGTTTAAAAGGGGTCTCGAGTCCTATGAAAAGGGTGTCAATCAGTTCGCAGATTTGGTATGCATTTTGTTATTAGTTATTAACAAAAGTAAAAATTTAATTTAATTAATTCACGTTTAAATTCAATAGACTAACGCCGAGTACCAGTCCATATTTGTAATGCCCGACCCATCAGTGCAAAAACCAGCGCTGGCCGAGCCATACATCGCCGACCCCGAGTCCCTCTCATTGGCGCCGCAAAGTTTTGATTGGAGACAATCGGGAAAAGTGACTTCAGTTAAGAACCAAGGTGGTTGCGGATCGTAAGTATTTTTCCATAATATACTGTGCAAATAATTAATTTGTGTCAATCATAAAAATTATTTATATTAATTCATTAAATGCACAATGCTAATTAAATTTAAAAACAATACTTTATAAATGACCAAGGTGCTGGGCGTTCAGCGTATTGGCTACCCTAGAGTCGGCATTCCTGATCAAACACAACCAAAACCTGGACCTATCGGAGGAGCAACTCGTCGACTGCACAAACAGCCGGTGCGGCGGCCAAACAGTGGACAGCGCTTTCAAGTACGTTCAGGCGCACGGAGTCGAGTCCGAGGGTCAGTACCCGTACAGCGCCGGCTCCGGGCATTACAACAACTGCGGTGACCAGCCATCGGCCCCACACACTCATATTCAGGGCTATCGCGGTTTGGGTCACGCCGTGGGTCCCAATTTGGCCACCGATCAGGAGATAATGGCCGCCATTCAGGCCAACGGTCCCGTCTCTATCACGTTCAACGCCGCGGGCAATGACTTCCGTGACTATAAGTCCGGTGTATTGGCCAGTAATGACATGGGATGGACAGCCGCTCACGCCGTGATCATCACCGGTTGGGGTACTGAAGGCGGTCGCGATTATTGGGTCATTAAGAATAGTTGGGGCGCCGGTTGGGGCGCTCAGGGTTATATCAAATTGGCCCGTGGTCAGAATTTGAGACACATCAATGAATTTTTGTATTTCCCACTTGTTTAAATATACTGGAAATAATTTTTGTTGTTGTAATTTGTTTTGCTAAATAAATCATTGTAATTTACCAGCATTATTGTGTATTGTATGTAATTTTATTTAAAATACCTGTACCTAAATACACTCGGACCTGTTTAATTTCACATAGTTGGGACCGTACTTTTTGGTGTGTGAAATTACACAATGTGAAAATATAGAGAGAAATTTTTATATGATTATGTTGTTTTTACCTAAGTTTTTTATTGAAAACTATGAGTTATGCTGAATGATTAATTATTTAAATCAATTTTTAGTTATAAAGTTAAGTATAGACAATTTTTATAATAAAAACATGTTATTTATTAATTACCACTCCATGTCATACCTAATATTTACTAAAATATACAAAAAATACAAAATTTTTGTTGACTAAAATGTGAAATTACACGATCAAGTCTATGTTCACAATGTAAACAAAACCACATGTGATGTGAAAGTGATTTTACGCAAGTGTGAAATAAGGCCCATGTTAAAACATATACCCCAAGATGGGGTTAGTAGTATTGTGTGAATTTAAACAGGTTGTGAAATTGTACAATGTGACAATATACAGGTCCGAGTGTATTTGCAAATTAAAAGTATTAAAAATGCTTAAAACAACCTGAAAAGAATTTGCAATTCATATATAGACTTGTACAATATTTCACATAAGTTAATTATGATTATCTTATTTATATATAAATTGTCAAAATTAACATTTATAATAAATTACAAATAAGTTGCATTATTAGCAATTTTTAATATAATCAATAAATAAAACAAAATACCTTTACATAACTCATAGATTTATAATGTAGAAACTTGAAAAGTAAATTGATATAACAATTATCTAATTAATTATAATATTAACTTTTAAGATATAGCATATGTCGATTATTCACACACGTTTTTGTGTCTCATGAAATAACGATTGTTTTTCACAAAGCAACAAATCCACTATAGTAAATTAAATTATATAATCAAGGGTAAAATGTTTATTAAATAAATAGAACCAACATTCTCTACCATTATCACTATTACTTTTTAATAAGTAAATCTGAAATCATTGTGAAAACTACTAATTTTTAAATCCTAATATATAATAGATATAAATATTATTTAACACAATTATAGCAAATTAGTCCTAGTGCATTTAACCCACTAGACAACCAAAAACTGATTTTAAATCATAGTATCAATATTTTAATATAAAAACTTAATCAAAATATTAAACAATAAAATAAACAATTATATTAATAAAGTAAAAAACTTATAGATATGGCTAGCCAACGGGGATGAAAATAGTGCCGGGATTGCAAAATTAAGGAAAGATTAGATACAATATATATTTGTTTAGTCAAACAACAATTTACTAAAGTTATTAAGTTTTATATCTCATACATTGATTGTATTGTCACCCTAACAGTTGCACTTTATTAGCGTAAAGTTTAGCGAATACCACTTATAGATAATCAACCATAATGCACTTATATTTTTGCTATATTAAAACATTGTGACGCACAGAATTCACCATACTGCACTAATACTTGAAAAATAAAAACGTTGTCAAATCAATATTTAGAAATTATTCTGTGAGCGATAACACCTGTCATGCATGTGACTATTTTTATCATTGTCATTGTCACTGTATATANAACACCTGTCATGCATGTGACTATTTTTATCATTGTCATTGTCACTGTATATAAAGAGCACTATTAAAAAGAATAAGTTGCAATTAAAAACAACCATGAAGGTTTTAATACTGTTTATTGTACCCCTGCTAGTAATAGCCGATGCCAGCCCTGTGACTGAGCAAGCAAAGTTTACAGGTAAAATATGGGTAGTGTTAGCCGGTTGTAATGAAGGTTGGGACAATTATTCAATTAAGGTAAATATTGATTAATATGGATTATGATATATGTATAATTAATATGGGTAATTTCTAAAAAAATATAGGCAAACGTATACCGGGCTTATCAAATGATTCGCGGGAACGGTATTCCCGAGGAAAACATAATAGTTATGCAACCGGACGATATCGCCAACAATAAGCTCAACCCAACACCCGGTAAAGTGAAAAGTGAATTCACCGGCAGTGATGTCTACCACGGAGTGCCCAAACACTATACCGGTGCCGATGTTTCTGTTGAAGTAATATTAAATTAATTAAATAATATTTATATTTATAATAAATTAATATCTAATTTACTTACATTTTATTTGTGTAGAACTTTTTGGGTGTACTTAAAGGGGACCCGAAATTAGCTGCGCGTGGAAAGCGAGTGGTGAACAGTGGACCCAATGATCATATATTTGTCTATACTATTGGTCATGGAGATGATAGTAAGTAAATTTATTATGTTTACTTATCATTAAATCTCTCTCTCTCTCTCTCTCTCTCTCTCTCTCT